GGAGGAGGGAGAGAAGATGAAGCCCTCCTCGCTATCTCACCTGCAGGTAGCTGTCACTCGAACTGACTTCGTCCGTTGCTGTGTGCAGGTACCGCGCGGAGCCCAGCTATGGCGCCAGGTAAGCTTGCCGACTGCAGGTATGGCCTCCGCCACTCTCCTATTTCCTCTAATCGCTACTCCCTACTCCTCTACCTAGCGCAGCATAGCGCAGCCTCCAACCAGCAGCGTGTCGCTCAGAAGTGGGCGACTTCAACTGTCCCTGGCCCAGCCGTTGCCCAGCTATTTGTAGCGCTGGGCCGCTGGGCCTACCTGGTGCTGTGTGGCCTAAAACGGCCCAGGTGGTCTGGGTCCCTACCGGACGTCCAGACCTTGCTGCTGCTGCAGCATGGCGCAGAAATGCGCCTGGCCGAAAAACGGCCTCCTACCGGTGCACCTGGCCCAAGGCGTTGTCTTGGGTCCTGCAGAACCGAAACGACGCCGGTGTTTGGCGCCAGACTGCACCTGGCCTCGTTTCGGGCCTACCTCCGGTGTACCCAGTCCCAAGGTCCAGCCTTGGGGTTGCAAGTCCGAAACGGCACCTGAACAGACAAAATAAGACAGCACACACACACAAAAAAAAAAGGGGTAAGTAAACGAGATCCTACCTACCTACGTGCTGCCTAGGGCCTGGAGGGTCGCCGTGGACCTCCAGGGCGCGTGTAGTACGGTACGCGGCCTGGGGGCCCCTCAGCAACCGTCGGGCCCCTCAAATGGGGCCCGAGTACAGGCTCAGCATGTAACAGTACAGTCCGGCAGTGAAAAAACCATGCATATTCTTGCTGTTCCAAAATGCACTGTCTTGCTGGGGGTTCATAACTTGACGCATCTTAGGATGTGTCCGCGTGTGTGTACAGAAACCTCCACTCCTGGTGTCCCAGAGCTGCTATGTGTCATAGATACAACCCATATGACATATATACGGTTTCAGAAACCTCCAGTCCTGGTGTCCGCTGTGCTGCTACGTGTCATAGATACAACCGGTGTGACAGCGTCAATCGCACACTTATTGTTTGCTGAAAATGCCGGTTGCTGAATGCATCAACAACTACGCCAGCCTTTAGCTTTCAAGCTTCTAGAAAAGAGGAGAACAATGCTATTGCCATTCGGCAAGTGTTTTTTTTGTTTTTTTTTTTTTTTTGTCATTCAGCATGTTAAGTATGCTGATTCTGCTGAATGTTGTTTTTTTTTTTGTTTTTTTTTTTAAAGGTATGTTGTAATTGATACGAAATGCGTACTATGAATAATAATATCTTGATTTCACGAATGCCTCTGTGAGAATGTACCTGAATGTCTTAAACACATTCCGGCACAGATCATGCACGTGGCTGTGTGAACATCTAGCCGCATTCTGACAGTGGCGTAATACTGCCTTTCCTAATTGTTTTTGCTGTTCCAAAATTCCAATTCATGGAACTCATGGTGCATCCAGCGGCCTAGCTCAGTGGTTACGCACGCAAGTGGCATTCACGAGGTTGTGGGTTCGAGCCCCATGATCGTCTGCAGTGCACTTAGTGCCAAACGACTATGATAGTCCGCTTGATACATACCCCTGATTGGTATTAGTAGGGTCTATGACACAGACAGGTGTGAGTGTGAGCGTGAGTGGGTTGTGTGTGGTGTGTGGTGTGTGGGAGAGTGTTGGCCATAGCCTACTCAGTGGGGAGTGGGGGAAGTAGATGGGAGGTGCAGCTACTGGCAAAATGCTCGTAGCCGCTCCTTCCCACCGGCGGCCCCGCCTTACTCCCCGACGACTGCCGATTAGGGCGGGGGACAATGTGCATCCCCTAAATTGTGAGAGGTAGCTATGCTTGCACGGGTCCCCTGTTAGTAGTAGTCGTAGGTAGATAGTGAAAGGTGAGATTGAGAGGAAGGGGGGAGGGGAGGGGGGGGGGAATGATAAAAAAAAAATAAAAAAAATGGTGCCAATCGCTAATTTTGCCATAAACCACCAGTATATCCGGGCCGCTTTCCTACTAGGCGGATTTCCCCTGCACGCCAAGCTTTGCCAAAACGCCAGCGCGGTGTTTGTATTCTTTTTAAGGCTGGTGCCGCCAGCCATTTTGGTCCGGTTGGCCTGAGCCTCTGAAATTTTAGGAGAGGGTCAATCATGATTCTCAAGTGAGGTGGGGCCATGCACTTCCTGATAAAACCGCACGTTGGCGGCCACCATTGCTAAAGTGACTCGACCATTTCTTTCGAATGAATATAGCCCAGATTGGCCGGCCCATTCATCCCAGCGCTCCTGGACGCGTTACCGACCGACTTATCAGGAAGTACTGGTGGTTTAAGAAGATCTGAAGGATATACTCGCACAACGAATTTCCTGTATATGACTGACCTCAATTATGGCCAACAAGTGGACCCGGGGGGAAGAGGGCAAGGAGACGGTGGTGGACGAGGGGAAGAGGAGAGTGTGTGTGTGTGTGTGTGTGCGTGTGTGTGTGTGTGTGTGTGTGTGTGTGTCTGTGTGTGTGTGTGTGTGTGTGTGTGCTGTCTCTTATACACATCTAGATGTGTATAAGAGACAGTTGTAAGAGAGGCCGGTTCTTGTTCTGGTCTGCACCGTTACGGTATGCAACAGTGAGGGTGTTCTTGCTGTACTTTTTTGACTTGCCGGAGGAAT